AGGAAATCGGTATATTCCGGTGTTTGAATTCCTGCCCCGCAAGCAGCCAGAGAAGCAACAACGAAGAACGGAAGCAAAATGAAGAAAAGCGCGGGGCGACCCCGGCGTAGTGGTTAACATCCATTCCTCTCACGCCAAAGTCACGAGTTCAAATCTCACCCCCGGACAAGTCACGAATGACCCAAGAGTGTTAAAGTGACTATAATAAAAAAAAAAAAAAAAGAAGAAAAGCGCGACCAGGACGAAGCTGAAAGTGACAGCAGTTTCGAAGCTAGCGCATACGCAGGAGTGACGAAAAAGCGCCTAAACCTAAACCGTCACTCACCGGTCGAAAAATTCATGTAAATTTCTGCGAGATATAGCGCACATAAAATTAACGCTAGATTTGGCATGAATTTACAAGATTATTCGTGTAAATTTAAGAGCAATATTGTATAAATTAGCAATCTTGTATGCAAGCTTCTAAACGATTTCGCTGTTTATGTCAAGTATAGCTCAAAATTATACGCAGGGAGATTTTACGCGATAGTTAAAATTCAGATTTTTTTTTCTGTGCTGCACCAGTGATTTGAAATAATCAAGTACACTCAAAAAATTCCACACGCATCATCATGTGTCTCACACTTAATTTTGCTCTTATTGTGAAACACATCCATTTCATGTGTGAATCTTATGCTATGAACCATGCCTAAACACTATGGATTTGAATTTTGACACACTTGGATTCTATGTGTCTCATATGGTGATATCAATAGCTTTGCACACCATAGTTCAATATTCTACAATATTCTACTTTATCGACTTCTACTTTACCGACTCTAAAAATTGAAACGACAAATTATAATCAAAACTGCCAGAGGCCAGAGCTTTCACATATCTTTTTAATGGGTCTGATTTGGGATTCGATCATGGACTGTTGGGGTAAGCTGCTGCCGGAGTATTCGTTCTATCTCACTGTGCCAGGGTTGCTCTCATATATGAGGCGGGTTAATAGGATAAAGTCACAACTCTTGTTTTCGATGTTTACCTTTCTGAGCAAGCAATTCACATCGTATTGAAATGCAAAACACTTTAAATCCATCTGTTTTGAACAGTAGCGTGATTCAATGTGCAATACACTTGAATAGAAAGTGAAAATTTTTCAATATTTCAAAGTTTGAAACACTCTAAATTAACGTGTATAACACATCGAACCAAGGTGAAATACACTTAAAGTACATGTGATTCTGCATTTAAAAAATCAAGTGTTTAAACACTTCGATCAAACGTGTGAAATTTTTTGAGTGTAGAAACCAACGAGTTTTGTCGTTAAAAGTCAGAGATGAGCAGCATATAATTTCGAAATATTTTAATGATTAAGGGGGATTTCCGGTTCAATATTTTCAAAAAATCGATTTTTTTTGCATGAAATCAAAGCTAAACACATCTAGAATATGTGGGTAAAAGGATATTTCGATCCGGCAAATATTTACGTCGCTACAGGCCTTTGAGTGCATCGACCTCCCGAGCGGTATGGATCGCGCAGGTATAAGAAAAAATGTTTCGCAAACTTTAAACGCGTTTTTCTCGAAACTACAGGTTCAACCAATTGACTTCGTTCTTTGCTTCCCTTATTGAAAACACTTTTCTTCATGGAATGAACTATAGACTCAAGGAGAAATGTGCAATTTTCGATTTTTCACAGCCTGTCAAAGTCAAAAATTCGACCGAAAAAAACGACTTTTTTCAAATGCCCGCCATTTTGTCAAATCTTGAGATTATAGTTCATTCCATTCTCTGAACTATACTCTTCAAGAAACTGAGCCGATTTTCTTTCTAGGTGACGATTTGCGACCTCTAGGCTGCTCGCAGTTTTGGGAAGTACCCGCCGGGCAGCCGCCACATTGGACGCCATTTTGGATTTTTTGACTTGAAAAAATTCCCAGTTGTAGAGCAAGAATGAATAAAGATTTGACAAAAAACTCAGGTCTCTAACTCTTACCAGTTCCCTGGAAAAAAAAATCCAAAGTTTAGGTCAATTGAACCGGAAATCCCCCTTAATTTATCCATCAATGTAGCAGAACCTTTAAAATACCTTACAGCTCTATTTAACATATTCAAATAAATGTTTACGCCAGGGTTTCAGAACCAATCCGTCAAACAGAGCGAGTCTTTATCAAAAGAAAGACTTGCCCTTTTGATGCATAATTTCCATCAGTTATTGGTTTTTTAGGATTAAATTACTCAGAAATAGTATAAATTGTCTTCCTTGCTCCAACCAAGATGTACTGTGAGTAACCTGAAACTAATCATAAAACCGGACTTTGGAAAAAAAACATGTGTGAAATCTGGACCGTAATTCAACAATTTTCGAGATGGGTTTTAACGGTTCAAAACCAAAATTACCATGCATTTTTTTTCAGAGTTTCCATAGTATTTATCCCATAGTATCAATTAAATTCTACTCATAATTATTATGAAATTCTCCTTAAACATACCGGAAAATTCCCTGGGAAACTCCCCTCGTTATTACCCTCGAATTCCTTTGAAACTCTTCTAAAAATTTCCTTTGAAACTATCCTAAAAATAATATTCTTTGGATTTTTTTTTAAATTTCTTTGAATTTTACCCAAAACTTTCCTCAGATATCATTCGAAATTTTTCTCAAAAAACCTTGGAATTCTCTTCTCAATATTTTAAAAATTCTTTTAAAATCCCATGCTTTTTTTATTTAACCTTAGAACATGATTCTTTTAGTTTTTTTTTCAGAGCTTCTTTGATTTTGTTTTTTTTTTAAATCATCCCAAAAGCGGTGCCGGTGGTGTAGTGGTAAGCGTGATTTTAAATTATCCTCAGAACACTTTATAAATTCCAATTGAGTTTCTCTTGAAATCCTCTCTAAAATTCATCTGCTGTTCTCCTCACAATCCCCATATAGTTCTCCTCAGAATCACATAGGAATTATCTTTGATATTCTCCTCACAACTCTCTTGGGATTCTTCCAACAGTTTCTTAAGGCTTAATCTCAGAATTATTTTGGGATTCTTGTTAAGAATTCCTTTGAATTTTTGAGTTTTTCTAATTGTTTTTAGAAGCAATTCAGGATTTACTTTTAATTTTAAAATTTATGCATACAAATTCTTCACATTATTAGAACCCTAAAATTTTTTGAAAGTATTAAAATTTATTTTCTTCCAAATCTTGGATTTGTGTTTTCAAAATTCCGCGTTTTGAGTATTTTTTTCAGTCTCAGATTGTTAAACAAAATTCCAATTCGATATTTTTTCCGTCCGAATCTTGGATCACGATTGTTTTTAAAGGTCACAAGTCTCGAGAAAAATGTCCTAGTCCTAGAAGATTCTACACAAATGTAAAAGTCTCAGAATATTGGAAATTTTCTCGATTTTTGAAAGATTCCTTTTAGTACAGATCAAGGTGTGTTAAAACATTTTCATGGTCCAAAATTTTCGTATAAAGTTTTTCCTCATTTAATCGTCTATAAAACAATTTCCTAATTTAATCGTCCGCATGCAGTTCGATAATGTTTGGCTTAAAAAAAAAACAGTCAAATTGATTTGAAGTACACTGAAGTGTTTTTACACGGTTTTTTACGTGGTTTTTTACACGGTTTTTCGCGATTTACACGGTATGTTTTTAACGATTTCTCGATAACGATACAACCTATCAACTTGATTCCAATCACATTATCCGTTTCAAGCTAAATGTAATTTAATGGCATATTTTAAAGAAAAATCACAACTTTTGGTGTAGATACAGAATTTTTTTAAATATCTCTATATGGACCATAGCATGCTTTAATTACAAATGGCATCAAAATCCTATTTTCAAAAACATTAAAGCATGTGAAAAAACAAAATCTTGGTAGGTTTTTTAACACGATACATATCCCCGGGGGAAGAAAAAATACCTGAGTGTATCTCGAATCGTGGTTTTGCATCAGTTAAACACTTTCGGTTTTTGCTAACTATTGACAACTGGGATATTTTTTATATTTTAACCGGGGAAATCGGGAAACACTGGGAATTTGAAAATGAAAATTCACTGGCCACTCTGCTATACCCAAAATTGATTGTTTTTTTACTTATCGATTGCAATTTCTAACGCTACATCATTATTTCAAGAAAAAAAAAAACTGTTTCGTCAACTAAGTGCAAAGTTATTTACAAATAAGCCATTTGTGCGCAAAACTGTGCATGCCAAGCGTAGTTGCTGGCAATAGCGGACTTTTTTAAACAATTTTGATTCATCTTTCAAAGTGACACCCCATCGTAAGCCCAAATGACCGGAATTCAATATACTAACTAGAACGCAGGAATTAACCGGAATCAAAGTTCTATACTTCTAGCGTGCCTTTCAGTAATCTTTGGTATGCATGGTAATGTAAACAAACTTTTTTTTTCTAAAAATACATTTTCATTGCGTATGAGGAAGCAGCACACTTACGTGAAGCAATAAAATGCTGCGACAGGTATGCAAATGAAATAACACGTAAACTGCGCAACACCGCATTTGATCGCGTCTGTAGATAGGTAGCTACGTGAGTTCATGAGCAGCTCACCAGACTGTCCAGTATACATACAGCAGGTGCATCAGTGCAAGCACCGGCGACAAAATGTTAACTAACTCTCTACAAGTCATAATTTATCCGGTATCAAGTTCCCATACCGGCATTTCAACCTTGCTATTACTCATTGTAAACAAACTATGTAGTGATATCAGTGAAGTTGCGACTCAAGAATCGAATGACGATGAATAGGATACTGTGAATGGTGGAGAACGATTACACAATATGAACTTGAAAAATAACCAAATCCCCAGATTTACATGTTGTTTCGAGGTCGCTCTGTATATTGAAATAATCGAAAGCAAATTTTTATGGTTTACCACCGGAAACATCGATTGTCTCATTTTTTTATTTCCATTCCAGCAGGAAGCTTTCAATATTCTAATTTGTTTTTCTCATTGTCCACCTTCCATTTTTCTTTTTTTTTTTGTTGCAGAATCATGGATCGAACTATCATCTAGCACAAACACATGTCCCAAGAGCCCCGATCGGACGACTCCGTTACCATTTACCTCGGTGGAAGAGTATCTGAGACTGCTACGCGAGGCTCAGCGAGAGTCGAAAGAATCAAGCCGAGTTGCGTCATTGACTAGTTCGCGGAGGGATTCACCTCGTGGAAGCCCGAAATCGCCACCCAACAGCCCTAATACCGAGCTTGCCACCACCGAAGAAGAGCTTAGAGGTGTCTACATCAACTATCTCAATAGGGTAAGCGCGTGGTTGTGTTTTGCTATTCCGCACGCGTATTCGTCGTAGCCTTGAATGGTTCTGCAAACGAATGGAATATATTACCATTCCCAACAAAGCTGATTAGAGCTAACACGGCAACAGAACAAATGGAGACACAGGAATGCTTTTTTGGAGTCAGCCAATACCGATACATTCTGGGTTGTTGTTCCTTGGGGCACGGAGGTTTTTTTTTATAGTCGCTTTAACACTTTTGGGTCATTGGATGAGATTTGAAGTCGTGATTTTGGCGTGAAATATAAGGAATGTTAACCTCTACGCCAGTCCCGTCCCATATTAAGTTTTTTTAGCGTGGCTCTATGGACTCCATTTAGGTTTTTAATGCAATTTTGTCGACTTATTTTTTTAATTCATTAAATCGACTTTTAGTTTTTTTTTGCGTTTTCAATACTGTTGACGCGTTTTAAGACTATTTTAACATGTTAATGCCATTGTAAGTTTATTCTTTTAACATCATTTTTACCGTTTTTCAAGCTAAGATCGGCTTCAACTGCATTTTTTATGGCATTTCAAAGGGCATTGCAAGATGATGTTGGTGTCTTATGGCATACTGGGCAAACTGTGCGTTTTAAAGTCATATTAACGAATTTGCAGCCCTGTTAGTTATTACTAACCCCTAATGTAGCCCTATAGAAAAAAAATCTACCAACAACTTTTTCACAACTGCACTGAAAAAATCATAGTTGAAGTTTTCGCAGCAGTAATGTTTTATTTAAATTTTAGAGGGTACTGGGTGAAATTCATCTGCGGGCGGCCACTCAACCGAGAAACCGGGAATCGAAACCAACCGGGAAATATGCGGCAATTAGAATGCAATCTCAAAATATGTTTCTATATTTTTTATTCGAATTCTGTAAACTTGTTAGTACTTTTTCCTCCATTTTATGTACTTTGCTCTACCGGTCTATGTAAACCGACTTGTACTTTTCAGAGCTGAAACACTTATCGACTTCATTTTACTTATTATGGGATAGAAAAATAGGGGAAATGGATGTAATGTCGGTCAAATGCCGCTAATTTATGCCCATACATAAATTCAGCAATCGACTACATTTTCAATAGCGACCAAAATATCCATTAGTATCGTCCCAATGACGCGTTCATCTAGATGAAATTGACAAATAGAAGATTTTTAACGATGGGCCCAATCTTAAATCCATATTCTACGCGAGTAAAAATATTCTCTATATAGGGGAAATGGCTCTAATGTTGATGGGCGTTGGCCAAATTTGGATTTTTCAAATATAATCCTAAATAGGATCTAGATTATTTAATACTCTAGTAACCTCAAGTCCGTGCTCTGTCACAATGTTTCATTGTGATCAATCAACACTCAAAGGGGTAAAATATAAAATTTGGGGTGAATTTGAAAGAAAGGGAACTTGGAGTGTAGAGCGTACTGCCCACTGGACGATTCTGAAGCCTGGCCAAGTGAGTGGGGTATGGGCCAGGCGAGTAAGAGAGATGCCACAGTCGGAAGAAGTATTAGTTTGTTTACTAAAATGAATCGCCCATTTTGTTATGGCAAGTTTTGCTATAAGAAATGCTCCTCGTGTTTATTAGCGAAATTCACATCAAAGATTGATTAATTGCGTAGGAAATCAGTTTGGCACGGCATTTGTAACCAGCATACACCTTCCGGTCGTATGAAACAGGTCAAAAACTGTCCAAATCCGCAGATAAAAAATTTTGTTTTGAATTTCTGTATGGCAAAATAGTGAACTTTTCGTGAACATTAACGGCAAAGAACTCACCAACACTGGGAGACCGTGAGTTCCTGCCCACCTGTCATAAAACCGTCTCGGGATATGGGTTTATTTGATTGAACGTCATTTCCAATGTATATATTAATACCCTCAAACTATTGGCATTTAAGATAAGACAGAGATAGGATGCGGACGAGATGGGAAATGACAGGTGGGCAGGAACTCACGGTCTCCCAGTGTTGGTGAGTTCTTTGCCGTTAATGTTCATGAAAAGTTCACTATTTTGCCATACAGAAATTCAAAACAAATTTTATCTGCGGATTTGGACAGTTTTTGGCCTGTTTCATACGACCGGAAGGCAAGGTTTCAAAGACTCATTTCAGCTAAGACAATGTTTTTCTAAATTATGAAATAATTAGATGCCATGATCAAATTTTGAATTGGTAGGATACAAGAAGAGGTTGCAAAGAATGTGTTTGACATATTAAACCTGTTTATTTCACTTCACGAGAGTCCCAATCAGCGATTTTTCACAAACTCACTCACTCACTCACTCACTCACTCACTCAGCGATCAGCAAATCGCTGATTGTGACTCATAGAAAGCAAACTTTACAGGTTTTATGTTTCCAACGCATACTTTGTAACCTCTTCTTGTAAGTTACAAGTAAAACATGACATCATACCATCTTTTGGTTTTATTATTCCGAAAAACATTATTTTAGCTGAAATGAGTCTTTGTAACCTTGCCGGAAGGTGTATGCTGGTCGCAAATGCCGTGCCAAACTGATTTCCTACGCAATAAATCAATCTTTGATGTGAATTTCGCTAATAAACACGAGGAGCATTTCTTATAGCAAAACTTGCCATAACAAAATGGGCGGTTCATTTTAGTAAACAAACTAACACTTCTTCCGACTGTGTCACCTCTCTTACTCACCTAGGGATGCGGAGGGTCCGCTTAGGGGGAGCGTAACCCATGTTATGGTTTCCATTTATTCAATAGTTCAGATGGGCTAGAAATGATAGGTCCATAGTGAGAAAATGTACCATATGGGATCCGTTCACTGATCAAAATCAGATTCACATCGTCAGGCCCTGCCCAAGAATAAGGGGATTGACGATGTTTTGTCAAGTTTTATTGTATTGCATTTTGCATTTAATACTCTAGTAAATCTCACGTCCGTGCTCCATCACAACATTGTGATGTGTCAATACTCACTGGGCTATATGTCTTAGACCAGTTTCAGATTAGTTTGCTATTAATATCTTCTGCATCGCAGTTCACGAGAGATTACTGAATATGGGTTCTCTTTTCCGACCATAATAGTGTGAGGGAAGTGGGTGAGTTAAACGTTGCGATCTGAGAGCGAAATAGAGGCAAATAAATAGGGAACAGAAAAAAACAACAAATACTCTATCGCTCTTCTCTATTCTTTTATTCTCTTACCTTCCCCTACAAATCTGAAGCTAGTGGGACTGCCTACGGGAGCAACAGGCCTGCTGGTGGAAGAAAGTCGTTATGCTATACGGTCTAGCATAGGCCACGACCAAAATGTCCGTAGGTTCATACCTAGCTTAAGTGCAGATGGGCGGATGATAGTCGGTCAGGGTGTGAGCTGAGCAATAACAATAACAATATATAGGGTAAATGGCTCTAATGTTGACCTATGGTTCTAAGATTGGGCCCATCGCTAAAAATCAGCTATTTATCAATTCTATCTATGGGACGGTTCTAATGGATATTTTTGGTCGCTACTGAGCATTTATTCGATTGCTGAATTTATGTATGGGCCCAAATTAGGAGCATTTAGGCCGACATTACATCCATTTTCCCTACCAATGCAAATTATTATACTAACACTTTAAACTTTTTTTTTTTCTATAGTCACTTTAAAGCTCTTGGGTCATTCGTGACTTGTCCGGGGGTGAGATTTGAACTCGTGACTTTGGCGTGAGAGGTATGGATGCTAACCACTACGCCAAGGTCACCCCCAACACTTTAAACTTAATTTTGCTCTAAAGTGAGCGGTGAACGGGTATCACCCTTTCTTATCATTTTTGAGTTATAATTTGCTGTAAATAATGTTTGCAAAAGTTCACCTCTTTTCAAGTGGAAGTCTGCATAGTTACTTAAAGAAGACGAAATCTTTACATCCACAAATTTTCACAGAATTTCGACTAGAATGGGGTACGCTTATAGATGTACTTGGGACCAATAGGCTAGTCAAGTAGTGAGCCAATTTAAAAATCGTTAGTTTCCACCGGTTGTTTATACTTTTTAATGAGCAATTATTTACTTTATTTGTATTTCGAATTGTTTGCTGACAGAATCTGTAGAGTAAGGTGGAGCAAAAGTTCGTTTTGAGGTTCTTGACATCTGTGCAAAATAAAACTCATTGTTATAGCACTTGTCTACATATGTCTATGTCACCAGGAAGCTCGAATTACCTACAGTGGGGCAAAATTTCAAGTCGTGTCCCAAACCCATGTAATCATGCACAAATGTCTAAAATGCATTTATTTACTATAAACATCAAAAATGGAGTACATTCTGCTCAAAATCTCGAACCTTACGCTATGCCTGTATTCTTATTTTACTTTCACAATCTATAATGCCGAAATGTGCAAATGAGAGCTTATCATTTTAATTTAGCTGTCCTCGTCAATGGTTTGAAGATTGAATACCTCTGAGAACAAAATATGATACAGTGCATGAAATGTTTTTGTTGTTCACGTCCGTTGCAGCAACTGTCACCTATGGTGCCGGTATTGAAACGAAATGAGGCTAATGGTGAATTGTCATTGATAATGATTTTCTTTTTGTATTGCTTGCTAGGTCGACGTCATACCAAATGGAGACCTGATACGCCGTGCATTCACTTCATATTTGCTTCTGAAGTTGGAAGCCTGCGCGAAGCAGATTGAGGAGCATGAAGCGCGAATGAAGAAAACCATAGTAATAGCAATATAAATGATAATAATAGTCATAGTAATGATGGCCATATGTAGTGTATATGTGTGGTTTGATACGATAACACAATCAGCTGTTTTGTCCATCGCTGGACTGAGGCTTTGTGAAATGTGCCAGTTCGAGGTAATCACAATGCGGAAAGATTAAACCTTCTTGAAAAGAAAAACAGAAGGTCAATGTTCAGAAATAATTCTGATATAGTGAGAGGGACTAATTTTAAACAAGTGGTTTTTGCAGCCAGACTGGAAAGTAAACAAATGCAATATTCCATAGCGTTGTTTTAAAAGATGCAACTTTTGTTACAATGAATCTTGCTTCTGTTGCATTTTGGATACATTAGATATGATGAACCAATATGAATAAATCTTAATAATTTTGCTAGCATTTTCAAGAATCAATTGAGTTACATTGCTAAATGGTGTACAGCGTAGTCAATATTTTGATAAAGGTTTTTAGGATAGCACAAAATTTCAATTTATAACCATATGTTAAACACTGTGGAATAGATTGAATCCTGCTGATATGGAATTAATGATCATTTACGAGAAAGTTATATGACACATTGTGTCTCTTAAGTCTCTCATCAAATATTACTCGGAAAATGGCACAGAATTCTTGCGAAACCCACATTAATTGGTCCGGGCTGAATTTGTTATCGGGCATTACTGTTACTTTAATCAACATGTTTAATTTTCAAATAGGTACATAGCAAAAATCCGAAACTGTTTAATTAATATTTCTTCTTTTTTATAGGAAGGAGCTGCTACCGCTCAAAAGGATAATGACTGGGTATGGGAATGGAGCAGTCGGCCGGACCAGCTGCCTCCAAAGTAAGTTTATTTATTGTTTTCAGAATATGTTTTGCTTTAATTATAAAATAATACCGATCTTTGCAGAGACTGGAAGTTTGAACATCCCAAACAAGGTGTTCGACGTGGGCAACAAGGATATTCCATGCGGCTGACTCGAGTAGGCAAAAATTCACTCTTCTCTCGAGAAGTTTTGTATTCACTTGTACTGACCAATGTATTATCGTTGCTGCTGGGTGCCGGAATTGGGTTTGTTTGCGAAATTGCATTGCATGCATTATATGGCCATTAGACTAACAGATAATCTACTTTTAGCGCCTGGTTACATAAACGAGGACTGCTTTTCACACGTATTTCGATTGAATAATCTGCTGAAGGACTATCTTAAGAACATCACTAGATGGCTTCCGGTAGCAGCGAAATGATCATGATCCATGCTTTATTGTCCAGAAGCCGTTGCTCGACCTGTGGTCATCTCCCGATAGAATTAGTCATAGTGTCAAAAGAAACGAAAATCAGTTCAAGCACAGAGAAATAGCAATTTTCTTCACAAACACTAGACGTTTCCTGAAGCAAACACATTCTAATGGAAACTGAAACCTTCCAGTTCATTTGAGTTAAATTCTTGTTGGCAAATTTGCTGGAAACTCAGGAAAGCGATTGTATCCAGAAGTCATTTAAATAGGCTGAGATTGATGTGATGAATAGTAGGGGAAACGAAAGATCAGACTAGCTAGAAAATGTACAGATTTATTAATGGACATTACGTACATCGATGTTTTGAAATAATTTTTTTTAAATAATTCCACGTAGAAAAAATGAAGGATACATTATAATTATTTTTTCTTCTGTATACCACCAACTACGACAACAATAATGTGTTGCTTTATTCAAATTCCCATTCATACAGATTTTATGTTACTACGAACTTAATTGTAAAATATACAGCAAAGAGGTATACATTCTTATTCTGAATTTAAAAGAGTTGGCTGGAGAAATAATTTTATGCATTGTAAATGATATGTCTGTAATTGTTCAAATGGGCAATTGATTTCATTTTCGCTTAATTTCCTACTAAAACGATATTTTTTTCAAATCTTTAAAACCTCTCTGAATATTCATCTTTTTAAAAATCGTGAATAAATCGATGCAGCATGGGCGCCACACGCCGTGTCAGAAATGGTGGATTTATCAATTTTCATGTGTATCTGGTTTTTCTTCGCCAAAAGTTAGTTTAGGTCCTCACATTCCTAAATCGGTTCTCTTTAAAATATTCAGTAGGGGAAATTTGAATTATTCAATTTTATCATAATTTTCTAACCAACCGATGTAGGGATGTTAGCACCCAAACTAACATTTGGCGAATAAAAATCGGTTGTACATGAAAGTTGACAAATCCGCACTTCGGTCACGGCATTCCGCGAATAATGTTTCCAGATTGACTGGCGGAAGGTTTTACAGTGTTCTACAATAACATAAACTAGGGGTTATCACATACAGCATCGTAATTATACACTTTATAGTAAAAATACCAGAGTTCTTTTTAATTGAATGGAGTTTAAGATGCGCTTTGTGAATAACCGTAGTATTATTTTGCCACAATGTTTAAAATCTGGTTACACTGAAAACAAAACCAACTCAAAGAGTGAATCTCTTCGCTTTTACTCAGTTGTATGGATAAATTTCTAAAAACGATACGCTTTTAGAAATTTCTCCATACTACTAAGTAAAAGCGAAGAAACTCACTCTCTGATGAGTTTTATTATCAGTGTATCTTTTTTCGATGAATATTTCTTTCAAGCGCTAGGTGCGCCATCTATCAACAAATCGTTCAATTTGTTCACCATAAAGCTTCACTCATACGCGGCCGATTAAAACAACTCAAATTTGATTTTCGTTCTCTCAAATCCGTAAAAACGTAAGTTGCTCATAGACTGACTAAAATTTTCCTCGATTTTCTTGGAAAAACTTTTCGAATATAAGGAAAATCGAAAGGGGCTCGACTGAAGAGTGGTCTACTCCTAGACTGAGACAAAATTTCGTCGATTTTCTTGAAATTCCAGCAGAATTTTGAGGAAAAGCTAGGAAAATTTTTGTATCTACTGTCTACTGTCACTGAAAACGAATCTAACTCAGAGAGTGAGCCACTTTTACTCATTCGTATGGAAACATTTCTAAAAGCGTGCTCAGTGCATGACAGTTTTAGCGATTTTAATTGAAAAGCCACTTAATTTCGAACGATCTCATCCGACCGTGTACATGGCCTTTCATTCTAACTCAGTGACTGCACGGCTAATGAGATCAACTCAAATTTGAGTTCAGTTTACTCAAATCGCAAAAAGTGCAGGAACTCAGTGATGAGTCAATTTGCCTCATGTTTTTCCAGGTAACAAAATCCAGAATATGAGAAAAGTAAAGATTGGATATTCTCAGTGTGTTGGTACTACGCCTAGACTGAGTCAAATTTTCGTCAATTTTCCTTATTTTCCGACAGAGTTTTTAGGGTTCTCCGCAGGAAAATTTACTCATCGCTGAGTTCCTGTACTTTTTGCGATTTATGAGTAAACTGAACTAAAATTTGAGTTGATCTCATTGGCCGTGAAACTAAAATTGTATTTTTCCTCTTTTTCTCTCACAAAAATATCGCTCAATTATCACAGCTCTGTGTAACTCCAGTTTTTTTTCGATAATTGTGTGATATTTCCGTGGGAGAAAAAGAGGAAAAATGCAATTTTACTCTCACGGCCAATGAGATCAACTTAAATTTTAGTTCAGTTTTTCTCGGTCACTAAGCTGATTCAACGGCAATTTAAGAACCGGTCTTGCATTTTATGAAAACCCCGTAATATCGACAGCAATAGGGTGATGATGTTAGAGTATAAGCAGAATGATACGAGTTATTGCACTTCATACAAGTAAACCTCTCTGTGTTATGCTAAATTCTTTATTGTAGGATTAGGATATAAACCCAACTTAACAATTTATTGGCTTCTTCATTATCGGTATAGAAGCAAACAATATCAAAACATATTCAATTTATTAATAATCATCCAACTCCATAAATTATTATTATTGTTTAGAATCTGATTTTTATAAAAATTATTAAATCAATATAAAATGAAAATAAAAACGCTTTATTATTTGTATCCTGAAAGTGCCTCATAATGAAGAAAAGAACCACACGGTTGGTTCATGATTACTTAAGATTCAGAAAATATAAGCGGTGACATTTAACTAGTTTTTCTTGGGGGACGGCATTGGCGTGGTAGTTAACATCGATACCTCTCACGACAAAGTCACTAGTTCAAATCTCATCCCCGGAGAGGTCACGAATGACCCAAGAGTGTTAAAATGACACTAATATAAAAAATAGGCTTTGATCTGCTAAATGTGTAAACAATTAGTTCTAGATTTAACTGAGAGAAGATGTAGAGTGGTCATAAAACAGTTTAGGATGGGAAAGAGATGCCATCGTTCTTTTCATACAAGAGCATTTGATCTTTGCTCTATGCGTCGCTCTTTTCACTTCACGTGCATATTGAACGTTTTGCTAGACTAGCCTATGGCTAAAAATCTCTATAATAAAGTTTAAAATTGAATTACGCAGTGTGTTAACTAACAGTGATGGCTGTGGGTTTCTATTGTAGTGTTTTATGGTCTATGGAATTTTCCAAGGTGATACAGCTATAAGGGCGAGGAGATCGCGGGGCGAAAAGTGCAGTTTTAGGGCAAATTGTAAACAAACTCGGTCGCTCCCCCATTCGAAAATTCAACATGATGGCTGAAGCATGAATTTGGCACATTATGTAGTCACCTTGGAATTTCCATAAGCCATGATTGGGGCACAATATGGCGAAGTGTGTGTGTGTGTGTGTGTGTGTGTTTGTGTTTTTTTTTTATACGGGGGGAATCTACTCCCAGACACCTGAGAAGATAACTCAGGGTATTGGGATGGGAGAAGTAGCGCTCCCGACCCACTAAACCTTACCCTGTGCTCTTGGCCCTTGCCCTCCCCGGAACCGCCCGAAAGCATTACATCATGGGAGGCGGCCGGTTGCGCTATGGCGCATCACACTAGTGGTGTGTCACAGACGTTACACTCGCTACTGCACAGTGAGCAGCTGTGCAGGGCCTTCCTCTTATTGTTCGTTGTTAATTGTTCGCCTGAGTTCTAGAGCAGACGTGATAGCCAGCCAACTGTCCACGGCAGGACAGGACAGACGTGACCGCTTACCAGCTGCGTGTGCTGCGACTTGGTTAGAGTCGTCTACACTCTAAGAATTCGGTGTCACTCCTGCCTTTGCACAACGAGGGTTTGTGCAGGGCATATCGACCTCCTGGGACGAGCTGGATGGGGCTCCAGCGTTCTTTCTCTGCTGTAGTTCGTTTAGCCGCAATATCTCTCCCTTGGGTTCGATAATTAACGTTTCCAGGACACACCACGAGGAGGCGAACTACTTCATGCACCATGGCGGAGTGTGTAGCCGTGACTGGTACACCTAGGGCATACTAAAGAAAGAGGCGCGAGGTTGATCATAATCTCATAATTGGATGTTCTTTTCGAAATGAAATCGTTTTTGTTATTTTTGTGAAGGAATTTATAGTGTTTGTTTATAAATATTATTCCTACACAATATTATTTTTTCAGCTGAAAGGGGGATAAACCTGTGGCTAACAAGTGCCAACATGAGAGGAAAGAGATGTTTATTAATCAGCTGATTTTCATGAATTTCGATTATTACGGATTATAATGTGATTTTTTGAGTTTAAGTTGAGGGCGTTAGAAGGAAAGGTAATTTGCGATACTTTCAGCAAAGTTTTTAGGACGCCATTTACATTATTGCGTCCATAAAAATATATATTTTAAGCGGGCGAAGGAGATGTTTAAAAGTGTGTACGGTTCATTTTATTTTAAAATAGTGATGTTTGTCACTTACACCCCTTACACCCACTCAGTTTTAATAGAAGGCCTGAAAAAAAAAATCAACCACGGATAGTGTATAAATCCACACCATAGGACATCGATGTTCGATTAATTTGGTAAGTCGATTCCAGTTGAACAATATTTTAATAAATTTGATATAATTGTAATTATTCCCTTTGGTACCTGTTGGGATAGCCTCGATCGTGCGTGATCTATTGTTTGTTCGGTTGATGTGGTTTGGTATGTGTAATGAGTTATGCTTTTGTTTTTTCTGAGACATGATTCGTTTTGAGGGAGAAAATAGATGCCATAATCGAACATATAGGTTTGGTACTTGACTAATTAAATTTCGGTTTGTTTAGACAAAATGACTTTTCCTAACTGATTTTTCGTAGCATCATGTCTCTGGGCGTGATCGTCGGTCAGAATGGTTTGTTTTAGTGTAAGCGGCACGTTTGTCTAGTGCCAACAGTTTTTACTTCCT